CTTTAATATATTTATGTTTTTAATGACGTCGCGGCACAATAAACGTACAGAACTGAGATTAGAAGGAGAACATTTTTTGCACCGTGTGCATGAAACTGATAGATTTTTTTACATATATATGCAGGTACCATGAATAATAATAAAAACAGAAAAGCCATAAATGAGCTTAAAATATCTCTAAATTATTGGAAATTATAGTCATCAGAAGAAAATATTCTACCATACCCAGTAAATGGACTTGGGTGGAGGAGCGTTCGACAGCAGTATTCGAAGCCCTGTACAGAGCATTCGAGAACCTGAAGGTGTCTAAGACCCTTTCATATCGCGCCAAAATGACAGTTATAACGGCACAAATGACAGAAACTTAAATGGATTGCTTCTAAAATAAATAGCAGATTACGGGGCGGTTTAAAATTGTTTATCAATTTTAAATTGAAAAAAAATGGTACCAAAAAATATCTAATAAAGCAGATCTAGATTTTATACAAGCTTTCCGTAATTTACAACTCTAACAATTTTAATTTCTGGTCGATTTTTGTTACGCGAAATACTTATTGTAAATGTACTTATAAATCAATTGCCGTACTTGGGCTTCATCAAATCACAACAATTAAAGAAACTATTTTTAATTAAATTACTATTTACCTAACAATAACTGGCAACGCAGCGCTAAACGTGTAAATATTAAATTGTATTTGCTCCTGTATTAAACCCGATTTTTCGCGAAGTACAATTACTATTTACCTAACAATAACTGACAACGCAGCGCTAAACGTGTAAACATTAAATTGTATTTGCTCCTGTATTAAACCCGATTTTTGGCGAAGTACAATTACTATTTACCTAACAATAACTGGCAACGCAGCGCTAAACGTGTAAATATTAAATTGTATTTGCTCCTGTATTAAACCCGATTTTTCGCGAAGTACAGAGTAAATCAATTATATCTAAAGTATAAAGTAGAAAGTTAAGTAAGTAATCTTAGCGCATAGTGAGAATAAGCAAAAGAATAAACACATAAGTAATAAAAACGTCACCAATATTGGGTTGAACTTGGTTGAACCTTGATTAATTGGGAAGCGGTGTTGCCAAGTCTCCAGAGAAGTGAAGTAAATAGCAGAGAACTACGAACGCAGAGAAGCGACACTCCTTTGATCTTGCGTGGGCAAGCCGCCAACGAGTGAAAATGACAGGAAAGCACCTTATTTTTTAATAGTCAGTGGGCATATTACACAATATAAATTCTTAAATAAAATTGAGCATTTATGTTGACTTTCAATAAATATGAAATATTGCACTGAAAAAATAATTACATGCAGGGCCGGCTTTTGTTGACATTCTAAATGGTGTAATTATTTTTGATTTGCAAAACGTTGCAAATACATCGCACAACGCAAAGTAATGGTGAAAATCGTATTGATGGAACCATAGATGAAAATACTTTTTTGTTTATTCTGATGTTGACGTTAATAATACAATAATACACCGATTCTTTTTGGCTTGTGTTGATACAAGATATAATTTATTTTTTATTATATTATTTATTATATTATTTTTTTTTTAAATAAGATTATCTTCACAATGTAGTTCACAAATCCTATAACTATTATAAAGTATATCCATTTTTAACAATAAATCTTCTCGTCTGCAAGCTTCTATCCACATTTTGGCACTACAAATTTTTAACAGAACAAATTTTAAACAAAGAATTTTTTGTATTTATAAATAATACTTCATTACTTACAACTATAAGAGTATTAGTATATTCTAAGTGTATTGTAAGTAATGAAGTATTTAACTTTTGTCAATATCTCATCTTAATAAATTTACAGTTTTCTCCTAATTAAGTCTCAAAATTGTCACTAAATATTGAGATATACAATAAATAAAGTTTTAATATTTTTTATTTGTAATTCCCATTTAAATATTTATTCCCTAAATATGTTGTGTACTCCGATCCATATATTTTATCTTTGTTATTTATATTTAACGAATTAAACATTGACAGACAACTTTTGTATATAGCAAAAAGTAGATGAGCATTTAGTTTTTTCATAATTTAATGTAAGTTTGTTTGGTGAAAAAGACAGCAAATATTTGAAGTTATGTTAATGTAAGTTTGTTTATTTGCAATCATGTTTTTATTTTGAAGTCTTGTTCTGTTATAATTTTAAGATTTTCCCAATTTTCGATCTAATTATGTTTCCAACAATTTTTAGTTTGAGCATTTTAGGAATTTCTTTGTTTCGTTTAAATCAAATATTCTCGTGTATAAAACTCTCTATATATTTTTATTTCCTAAAAATACTATATTCGTATTGTTGTCTGCGAGCGCTTTCACACCAGTAGGCCAACATCTGTGTTGATTTTTTGACCTGAGCCTTTGGAGACAATAAATTTAATGTGTGTTCGTAGTTCTCTGGTTTTTATTCTGAACTATCCCTTGGCAAACCAAAATTTATTTTTTTATTGCTTCACTTTACGAGAGCTCGGGCGGACACGTCGGTGTCGGCTTACTCAAAGTCAAATTAATACTATTATGTAATAACTAATAATAATTACAAAGCAATATTAATTACCTGTTATTATTCTTAGGAAATCTAAATAAACTTATTCCTTTTCCTGTCACAGATGAACATCCGCGAAACGCACAACAATAACCAGAAGACATTTTAAATACTTATAAATTAAACTTTTAACTATAAACTATAACTATAAACTTATATATTTAACTTATATATTTTAACTATAACTATAAACTTTTAACTACTAAATAATTAGATAAATGGTCAAATGCACTTGTATCAGACTTGTATAGTCGAGAGTTTACCACAGATGCCTACGGACTATCATAAGCAACTTAAAGTTGAAGAAAACGCACGTGTTTTTGACATTAAAGCACCTTATTTGGGTCATGCGTATACAGAAAAAAGACACGAATTCCGGGCCTCGTGTCGCTTCTCTGTGTTCGTATGTTCTCTGTAAATGGGTTCGAAAGAGTATATACTGCTCAATACAATTATTAACATAAATAAAGACAATAAATTAAGATGTTACACTGAGAAGGGTTAAGCTTCAGAAGAGACGATCCGGGCGAGACCTTTATCGCGGTGGGTGAAACAAGTGAGTATAAAGATAGAAGAACAATCAAGAGAACTCAGCGAAATTCGTAGAGAACAAAAAGAATATAATGAAGAAATAAGACAGTTAACATAAGATAATGTAACATTAAGAGAGGAAAACACAAAACTAAAAAAGATAGTTTATCAAATAGAACGGTTTGAAAGTTTGGAAAATGGAAAAAGGCGTAAAAATATAGTTGTACAAGGCCTGAACATAGATACAAATGTCCCAGAGACTTTAAAACATGAAATAAAAAATTTTATGCAGGTAGAATTAGCAGTCGATGTTCAAATCAAGAAGGTTGTGAAGCTGGGAGAAAAAGTCTGTCTGGTTGAGCTTGAAAAGGAAGAGGACAAAAGAAAAGTCATGCGAAACAAAATCAAATTAAGAAACCGAAGAAAAAGTCTAGTTTATATCAATGATGACCTGTCAAAGAAGGATAGAATTGAACCGAAATATGTCAGACAGAAAGCGCAAGAACTAAGAAAGGAAGGGAGAAAAGTGAAAGTAGGATATAAGAAAATATATTCCGATCAGGAAATATGGCGCTGGGATGGCATGAACCAAACGTTGGTGGTAGAGACCAAAGCAAAAAACTAAGCACCAGCATGAAAAGGAAAGAAATGAAGACGAATAATGCGAAGAAAAGGATTACGAACTATGAAAACGAAACAAAACAAGACAGTAATACAAAGGTAAAGCCGAAGAATGACAAGATACATTTAGCTACATGGAATGTCAGAGGAACCTTTTATGAAGGTGCGCTAAAAGAACTAATGAATGAGACAAGGAAGTATAAAATTGATTTAATGGCTCTTCAAGAGACAAAACAATTAGGACCGGAAATAACTGATATAGAAGATATGGTGCTCTTCAAAAGTGGAGGTAAAGATAGAATGCTTGGAACTAGTTTTTTAGTAGCTGAACGTATCAAGGTCAAAGTGATAGCTTTTAATCCTATATCGGATAGGATGTGTTCAATACGAATTAAAAGTAAGAAAAGCAATTTAAGTATAATCAATATTCATGCACCGTCAGAAGACAATGACGACGAAATAAAAGATCTTTACTATAAGCAGCTAAATGATGAAGACAATCGCCTACCTAAACGTGATGTAAAAATAGTAATGGGTCATTATAATGCTACAGTAGGAAAAGAACCTCTGTACACTGCAGTAACTGGTAACTATAGTTAACACGAAGTAACAAACGATAATGGTCAAAGACTTATTGGATTTGCCATGTAGAAAAACATGGTGGTGAGAAGCACACGATTAAAACGAAAAGAGATATACAAAGGTAAGTGGATCTTCCCAGATGGAAGGACGGTGAATCAAATAGATCATGTTATGATTGAAAGTAAATATATGAATATCGTTCAGAAGGTAAAAAGTATAAGAGGAGCTTAAATCGACTCGGACAATTACCTCGTTAAAGTCACATGTGGGAGAAGGCTGGAAAAAAAAAGAGAAATCGAACCATAAAATGAAGAGAAAGTACAATATTGAAAAACTTAAAGAAGTAGAAATAAAAAATAAATATCAAGAAGAAATAAATAAAATTATACAACAATGTGAGCAAAATTTACAGGCAGATCAAGCCTGGGAACAAATTAAATTTGCCGTAGTGAATGAAAGTAGAGGAAGACCTTAAACACGCGAAGATGAGGGACTGGAAAAGAAGAGCAGAAAATAGAAGCGAATGGAGAAATATTGTCCACCAGGTCCTTCAGTGTAGTTAAGAATATTGTATATACATATTTAAGTTAAAGTTTTGTTTAAAATAATTGTAATTAGTTATTATTAGGATTATGTATAAAAAAAATGCCCTAGGGCTTAACGGCTTGTTGTGCGTAAAAATAAATAATACCTATTTACCTAATTGTTGGACATTCAGTAATACAATTTAGTGCTAAGGGAATTTGAACTGGACATCCAACAACTTCAATTATCATAGAAAAGTGATAATCTGGAATTTCCGACACTTCCACAATTATTTCCTCTGTATATATGCCAAAAGTGTTTGCATATATCCAAAAATCTATTCTTAAAGCACAATATCCTTCAATTTGATCTTCTTGAATATCTGGTTGTACGACAATTCCGTGAGGTGTATCTTTGCATAGATCTACTACAATAAAAAAACACTTTATTAAGAGCAGTAACTTACAGACTATAAAGATATGACCAGTACACAGGCGTTATACAATTATTTTTTCCACGAGGAACAACAGAGTGACATAATTACTGAAAATTTTATAAATAAGAATAATCAACTAAACTGATTTAACTACATCTGTTAGTATTAATAAGAATCTTACCAATATTTTTTTGTTTCTGTCTCACAGCTGTATGATCAACATTTTTGTGGTAATAAAAGTTTCTTGATTGAATGTTATAAATTACAGATATAGGGCTAATGTTCTCTATATAAATTGATATTCTTGTAGCTAAAACATGTTAGTGGTAGAAGGATTTTTCAAACAATGATCAATATGTAAAAATATAAGATAGTGTAATATTTATTTTAAGTTGTGATAATTCGAAGATATACATATATATGTGTATCTTCGAATTTTCGACCCACTTTCAGAACACCGTGGAATTATCTCTACAGCGATAGCTTTTTCGAACAACGCAAAGGCTCTATCTGGAGCGTTGCAAGGGCTAGCGTGACATACGTTTCAAATAGATAACGATATGAACGATACCAAACAAGAGTAACTCTAACTATTGGAAATCCAACAGAACTATCTCTCCCATTAATACTCTTCTTCTTCATTTACCATGTCCTTTCAGAACGTTGGTTACCATCATAGTCATCTTAATTTTATTCACTGCCACCCTAAAGAGCATGCTTGTATCAACGCCATACCAATCTCGCAAGTTCTTCAACTATGAGGTTTTTCTTCGTCCTGGACTGAGTTTGCCTGCTATTTTTCCTTGCACGATATTTTAAAGCAACCTATATTTGGGACCTCTCATTACATGTCCGAAATACTGCAGCTTTCTCTGCTTGATGCTTTTTATGATCTCAGTAGTCTTGTTCTAGTATTGTGGAGTTTCGAATCTTCTCCACCCAGGAAACTTTTAAAATTCTTCTATAGCACCACATTTCGAAAGTCTCAAGGCAATTTAGATCTATTTTATTTACAGTCCAGGATTTGACACCATAAAGTAAGACCGAGAACACGTAGCAGCGAAGTAGGCGGATCCTCAATGTCAATTTTAGATCTCTTTTACATAACAACTTGGACATCTTTCTAAAAGCAGCTCTAGCCTGCTCTATTCTAGATCTAATTTCGCCGTGATTTTCTGCGTTATAATTTAATTGCTGTCCAAGGTAAACGATTTTATCAACTTGTTCAAGTTTGGTATTATTTACACATATAGACGGTTTTATATGGTGTTGTTTACTTATTACGAGTATTGTAGTTTTCCGTATGTTAAGATCCAGACCTGCCTCCCTACAACTCTCAACGACACTATCAAGTAGTGTTTGCAGATCTTCTTGACTAGAAGCTAGGAGTACTGAATCGTCCGCATATCGCAAATTATTGATAACTTCGCCGTTCACAAGTATTCCTTCTTTCAGAAAGTGCTCTTCTAGAAATTCTTTCGGAGTAAGGCCCGCCGCAAATTGACCACAGCCCATGCACATCCCACGCGCAGCCCATGTATGGTCCAACCTAGTCCAAGTACACGTTTTTCAATAATAACGCATATTGAACACAGCCCACGCCCATGTCAAATATTTGTATTCTTCGTAGTGTACGCAGTATTTGTTCTTAAATGATACCTAAGCGGTACTTTACAAAGTACATGATCTCATAAAAGCTAATAAAACAATAATAAATGAATCCAAATCCATTGTGATCCCGACCGCTTGGTTCTGGGAATTTGTCAAGTTAGGAAACTAAAACCGGAACAACGCATAATTATTAATATAAGCTTCCGAGTGCACCTCACGTAAAAACTCGGTAGTCTGTTTGTTGTATAATATTTCCTTGTAAAAGGGTTTATACTCGAGGTTTCGGTTCTCGGATAAGTATTCGATTCCTAGTCACAGACTCATTTAAAGATTTAAATTTCAGTCAGTTTTTTTACACGTTTTTAAAACATATTTTATTTTTTAAAATTTTATTTTTTAAAATCGGTTACCGATTTTACTCCACAATCTACCGATTTAAAAAAATAATTTTACCGATTTTATTTTCTTATGTTTGGGAACTCTTCGTTCAGTACAGAAAATGACATCATAACTAAGGTTAGGTAGAGACCCACGACCCACGAAACTGTGTTGCTAGCACAATTCTATCCACGCCAACCAAGTCTGGCATTAGCCTGTGCGTGGGCTGTGCTCAATTTGCGCCGGGCCTAAACGTTAAAAAGCAGGGGTGACAAAAGGCATTCCGGCCGTACTCCTCTTTCAATATCGAGAGCCTGTGATTCCACACCATCTACTAAAACTGATGTTGTTTGATTCCAATATAAATTTGCAATTATTCTAACATCTCTGCCGTCCAAGCCAATGTCTTTTAGAGCTTCGATCAATATAGAGCGATCAATATACACGATTAAATGCCTTTTGGAAGTCAATAAAACAACAGTATATGTCTACAGATATATCACATCTTTTAGCAAGTACCTTCATACCAAACCGTGCCTCTCTCGTTCCAAACCCGTTACAGAAACCAAACTGAGTGTCATCCAGGTATTTCTCGCATTTCTTGAAGATACGACCATGTATTACCTTTAGAAAAATTTTCAATAAGTGGTTTAACAAACTGATGGTTTTATAACAGCACAAGCTTTTGCTGTTGTCTTCTTAGGTAGAGCTATAAACAGTGAATTAGACCAACCATTAGGTAGTTGTCTGCTGGTATAAATGATATTGAAAAACGAAGTTATAGCCTCTCAAACACTGTTATCATTTACAAGCTTATATATTTCAGTTGGAATTTCATCAGGACCAGTCGCTCTGCCATCTTTTGATTATTGGATGGCTTTTATAACCTCAGAACGTGTTATTAGGTGTCCGTAGCAGTTAGTAATATCGGGAGGTGAACTACTCCTATCGTCTTCGAATAGGTTCGTGACGTAATTTTCCCATTCTTTAAGTTTGTCCTTTACTTCAAATATTACTTCACCATTTTTATTCTGTAGCAATGCAGTTTATTTCTTATTGACGATACCAGCCGCTTCTTTCACTTTTTCCCATTAATACGCTAGAGAAAATCCTTAAGAGTATCAAAAAGAAGAGACTTACGATACGTTCATAACAGCGACTATTGCATCGTATCTTTGCCTAGAGCATAGCATTGACAATGAATGCTCGCATTTAAAATAATGCATTTACTTTACCAATCGATCGATATTAGGTACGATCCTATGGTCTTAACGAGGATCGGTGCCTCGTTATGAGCACCTACTAAGGGTACGTTCATAACGGAGACCATGTGGGTGCTCATAACGAGACGCCGACTCTCGCTCTGACCATAGGATCGTACCTATTATCGGTCACTAGGTAAAATAAATACAATATTTTAAATGCGAGTATACCCCATCGCATCGTATACTTGCCTAGACTAGCAGTGACAGTGAAGGCTCGCATTTAAAATATTCCATTTATTTTCCCTGGCGATCGATAATATGGTACGATCCTATGATCGGAGCGGGGGTCAGCACCTTATTCTGAGCGCACATTTACGGTATTTCTGGAAGCTCATAGCAGTATTTCGAATTACCAATATAGATTACAATCTAAGCAGTCTACTTTTATTGGATTATTTTACCTCGCAACGTGTCTAATTATACTTTTGATTAATCTGGCACGACGGAAGGATCAAGAGACTAATTGCAATTGGGCTACTGTTACAGTTTATATGTAAAACCCTATCTTTATGCAGAGTATACGGCACTTGTCCAACAAAACGGTACAATTCCGTTAAGAGCGTTTTAAAGAGCAGAATCTTTATTAAATATCCTCGAACAATGGTATAACGGATGGAGGGTTACACTAAAGGCAAATAAAATGCAAACTATTATCTGAAGAAGCTGAACATTAACGAGTAAAATCATGCACAGTGTGTCACTACCAATTCTTTTTGCTAATGATGGGGAAATATTCTGCTTCAAACTAACAACAACTTATTAGAGCATCCTATGTACCAGGAGTTTCAACTTAAATGCTAATCTAACGATAATTTTATGTAGAGTAAGAAACATAGCATGCCTCCAAATCCACTTGCGTAACATCAAAATATGCACCAAAACTCTTATACTTATTTATTAACCCGGGCGCGGAAACAGGACGCGAGACCAAAGGACGCGGAAAAAAGGACGCGCGAAAAAAGGACGCGTGGAAAAAAGGACGCATATTATTAATGAATTACTATAAATAGTTTATTTTAATTGACATTAGCCATTACCCCATTTTTATCCCCATATGTTATTACAGAAAATGATTCTACCTAACCTAAAATCGGTTACGGTAAGAGTAAAAAGTGAAAAATAATTATATGAAAAAAACTTGCTCTCACATTTTATCGAGGCTTAGGACTAAAATATCTTAAGTAAAATAATAAATACTAATATAATGTTGATTCAAGATTTCTGGTATTGAAACAGGTTAGATTCCATATTATCAGAATTATGTATGGGATTAGAAAAACCCAAGTACCAGCCCATTAAGGGGTCTAATCAGGGTTTAACGCGAACCGGAAGGTTGGTAAATTCCGCAGGTAATGTTAAGAATGTAAATAGAAACGATTAGTAAGAAAATAAAACTTTCTAATTGTTTGATAATTGTTTTTAAGAAAGAATATTACAAAGGGTCAGATATAACACAACATCATTAACCAAATTGTTTATATAGGGGAAACTTGTCGCGGTAGGTAATTTATTCTGTTCTTAACAAGAGAACATTTTACAAATTGATATCAGTCTGTTAAGATGGTGTTAGCGTTTGTGAAAAGCCAAAAAGGCAACAACTTGTTACTTTATAATGGATTTCTCCATAAAAAAGAGCGAGTGATTGGTGAAAAGACAATTTGAAAGTGTGCTACTTATAATAAGTGCAAATGTACAGGAAGAGTGCATACCGTTGTGGATGAAATTACAAAATCCACAGAACATAATCACGTTGCAGACACGGCAAAGATTGAAGCAAAAGAAGCTTGTAACCAGATGAAAGAAGTTGCACAACAACTGGAACACTCCACCCAAGGTGTAGTAAGTGAAATTTCTCAAGGACTTTCCTTAGCTGCTACGGCACAACTTCCATCGGTGTCGTCGTTAAAAAAAACTGTGCAAAGAGTTAGGAACGAGCTAGGAGGTACGCCCGCAAATCAGAGAAATTTAGAAGAACTTGTGCTTCCTGAAGAATATAAAACAACTACAGGCGGTGAGCTATTTCTATTATTTGATAGCGGGCCAGAAGAAGAACGTATTTTGTTATTTTCAACACAAAGAAATTTAAGATTTATGGAACAATACGATCATTGGTATGCCGATGGAACATTTAACTCAGCATCACCATTGTTTTCTCAAATAAACACAATTCATGGAGTGCGATACAGTAATGTAATCCCGACTGTATTTGCACTTCTAACGAACAAAACACAAGAGACTTATACACGTGTTTTTCAGCAACTAAAGGTGTTGAATCCGGCTTTGCGCCCTCTAACAATAATGATGGACTTTAAAAGAGCGGCAATGAATGCTGCACAAACTGAGTTCCCAAATGTGAGAATCCGCGGATGTTTCTTTCATTTCTCGCAGTGTATGTGGCGCCATATTCAAAGTGCCGGATTGCAACGTAGATATATTGAGAATCCTGACTTCGCCCTTCACCTAAGACAATTGACAGCTTTTGAGTTTGTTCCAGACCACCATGTAGTCAGAGTGTACGAGGAGTTGCTCAATAGCGATTTTTATACACAAAATGAAGAACTACTAGTGCCGCTGATAAATTACTTTAAAGACACTTGGATAGGGAGATTAGCTAGAAGAGGAAATCGAAGACAACCCCTTTTTCCAGCAAATGTATGGAATTGTTATGATTTGGCAGACCAAGATATACCTCGAACTAATAATGCTGTCGAAGGATGGCACAACAGCTTTTCTTCTCTTCTCAATAGTGCACATCCGAATATTTGGAAATGTATTAATTCTCTAAAAAAAAGAATATAATTTAAACGTTTTGAAAATAGAGCAGTACATTTCGGGCAATGTACCTCCATGCAAAAGAAAATATCAAGATACAGTAAACAGGGTAAAGGCTATTGTTGCCGATTATGCTGACAGGCCAACTTTAGAATATTTGAGAGGCATTGCTCACAATTTTCAGTTGCAAACATAAAAAAAATACAAAAAAATTAATATCAAAAATAAAACAAAAAAAAAAAATAAAATGACAAAAAGATTCCAAAAAAAGCAAAAAATTAAAAAAAAAATAAAAAAAAACTTGTAAACACGCCAGCTTCTGCTGCCAGTCCTAAGCCTGGATAAAGTGTGAAGGCAAGTTTTTTTCATATAAATATTTTTCACTTTTTACTTTTACCGTAACCGATTTTAGGTTAGGTTCATTTTCTGTAATTATATATAGGGGAAACGGGGGTAATTGCTTTTGTCAATTAAAATAAACTATTTATAGTATTTCATTAATAATATGCGTCCTTTTTTCCACGCGTCCTTTTTTCGCGCGTCCTTTTTTCCGCGTCCTTTTTTATGCGTCCTTTTTTCCGCGTCCTTTTGTCGGTATACCCATTAGATCCAACCTATAATACCGATCGATCATCTACTACCTGTTAAATGCCTCTCAGGAAGATAAACTTTTAACTATTAGTAAGAGTGCCGTATTAGACGTAGGGTAAACTCCTCAAAAACATCTTAATTGTGGCTTATTCCCAACAAAAATAGTAAATTGCATTAAGATGCCACACCAAAATAGCTTCAGAACAATATTAGTTAATCGTTTCACACTTAAGCCCAGCAGCTTATTTTGTTTTCAGACAAATATATTTATAAGGTTTTTAGATAAGGTTCATATTTTTCATCTTTAATAATGTTGATAAACACAGGCATCTTCTTCTATAATTTTATTGTTTTAAGTTGTATTTTTACCAAAACCAATGCAACCTCCCTCGACTCTCCGCTAAAAGGTTGGAGTTTACTTTTTTACTGATTGGTCTAGGTGAAAATTTCATACACTCAAGGAAAGTCTTGACCATGGTCGTATTTTATTTATACACTTGCGAAATAATAATTAAGCAAATTTATGTTCTACAAAAACTGTTTAAGGAAGATTAGGTACCAAGTAAGTGGTAACATATACAGTAAACGTACCAGTAAAAGTTTGTATATTACGTATTTCTATAACATCTTCATGCAGAAATAGGCTTTCGTCGGAACCTTGCCTTAACAAATATTCTAAATTTTGATCTGCTATTCCTGAGAATATGGATGTACTACTTTTATTCTGACAATCTTCTTCACCCTCTGTGGACTAAAAGAAGAAGTTCAATATTTGTATTAAAGAATAGTTTAAGACAAACCGCAGTAACTTAATTTGAATATTTTGTTAATTATATACAAGGCTTGTTCAATTAAAATTTATATTTGGTCCCGAATAAATTTATTGTCAAATATCTACAAACACATGCTTGTAAAAAAAATATTTTTTGAACGTTTGAAATTTGATAACTGACATTTATGTATTCTTCAGCGCTAATTTAAAAAAATGCAACCATTTTGTCTATCACGTCAAATTTTTTACAAAGTAGGGTGTATGTTTGAGTATAAAAATGGCTCACAAAATGTAAGCAATTTTTCACATTTTTCCAACGTTATTAAATTTAGTTTTTTTTTATTAATCATTACATTTACTACTACATTTCCATACTAACATTTCTCTTTAAGCTCATAAGTCCATATAATAAGGCTTTTGCTTTCTGTCGAAGCTTCTTTTACTGCTTTTCCGGCTGTGGGCTCGTTGAGGATTATCTCTTTTTATCATCCAGCAGTAGTCTGCTATCATAAGAACGTTCCATCTTCTTTGGTACCTTCTTTCCATTTGTTTGATGCCTTGGTGAAATCTTCCGCCCTGCTCTTTACTTACATCACCAAGGTTTGCCAGGAAGTTACCAAGATTTGAGTAAAGAAAGTGAAGTTTAATCCTCATGTTACAGCCCAGCTTCTTAAAGTTGTCGATCATGTCTGCGACGATTGTCTTGTAGTTTAGATCTCTTTTGTTACCTAGGTAATAACTAATTTAAAATATGTTTATATTCCTTTTCATTTGTTTTCGTTTTGTCCATAAAGTTTAGGATCTGTCATTAGTTTTCTAATGTATGGTCCGACAAAGATTCCTTACTTTAGCTTAAAATCCAACCGCAGAAATTAAAAGCCGAATAGAACAAGCCCGAGCTGCCTTTGCAAAAATGAGAAACGTACTTTGCAGTAGAGATCTTAGCATTGACCTTAGAGTTCGTATGACATCTTGCTACATCTTTCCTGTCCTGCTGTATGAAGTGGAAGCGTGGACTCTAACTGAGGCTATGCTTAAACGCTTGACAGCCATTGAGATGTGGGTATACAGACGACTATTGAAAATAAGCTGAGTCGACAGAGTTAGAAATCAAGAGGTCCTTAGACGTCTGAGCTAAACAACACAACTGATTAATATAATAAAGAAACGCAAGCTAGAATACTTCGGTCACATTATAAGACACCCTGATAAATATGATCTTCAATAAACTACATCGTTATTTAGAGCTGCTGTCAATAAAGTCACGATAGCGAATATGGTAGCCAACATGATATCCAACGATCGATAACGGTCATGGAACTAGAAGAAGCTTTGTCGTGGATAACGCTGGAAACTGTCCACAAAGATATCTGACACACTCCCCCTTTTCAGTCAATGCCTTAACAAATTGTCTCATCATACCCAACTTTCTCTCAAAGGCCAAGCTTTTTTTATGTAGTGTTGCTTTCTGTATATACTGTCTCATTCACGGAGAAATCAATAGAACTTTGTATAGCCACTTTGTTGACCAAGCAGCATTAAAATCACTTTTAAATCTGTTACAACAGCATTGTCATTCCATCTAATAGCTGTTAGCTTTCCGTTAGATGTGGAATGTGTCGTCCCTCTCTCACATTTCTCAAAAGATTCTTTCGGAGGTAAATTCATCCATTTTTCTATTCTATTTTATCGCAACGTTCCAGTTTCTCCCAAGTCTCGTGTAGAGAGTTTTTCAAGTAAAGACACAAGTGAATAAATTGTCAAAATATAATTTATTTCAGCTAGGAACGACGGCATATTCAGCAAGTCCTACTACTAAATTTCCTCCTTGTCCGAGTCCAGTATCAGGAAGCTTTGTATGTGCACCGCAGTATGATTTAGCGCGAGATACAAATGGAAGCGCAAATCCATTCGGGTTTGCTAAAACCCACAATTTAAATGTTAGTTTTGTACCACAATAAATTGTTTTGTAGGATGCAACTGAATTTCCAACTGGTACTTGCTTGAATGAATTATTTAGATAATCAAACAGAGGATGGATCTTGTAAAACCTGTCAGTATTCATTTTCGTTTTAGAGTTATTATTTAGATGAAGATACCGTAATATGTCTTCAAATCGACGTCTCCGCATTGCTTCTGCAACTATAGCTACCTTGCAGTCAGGTTTATTTTGTCAATACATCCGCTTACACGACAGTTGGTGGTAAACAGATAAGATTATTCCCAAGAAGACAGAAATTTTATCATAAGTTACATTTAAGCTATGCATTCCTCTTTGCCCGGCATAAAGATTAGTTTGTGTAATTATACAATCCATTAGAGCATCGGTAAAAAAGCATTTGAAAGCTTGAAGCGGAGAATTTACCGAATTTTTAAAAAAATTTATAGTCGATGGACAAGAGTGTATTGTAATGGCAGGTAAATTTCAACTGTTTTCTTTATGCTGTGACTAAACAGTCTTTGCAGATTCAATTACTTTTTGCTTTTTGTTACCAATAGGTTTTGAAGTACCTGGCTGTGGCAAATCAATATTTTTCTCATCCAAACATGTTTGTTTTCAATAGGGTTTGAAGTATCTGGCTGTGGCAAATCAATATTTTTGTTATTCAAACATATATTTACTGTACCCTCTGAATAATTCTTAGCAATTTCGTCATCCAACTCAACAATCGTTTGCGATCTGAAGATTCTACCTGGTAGATGATTCGGATTTTCTTTAGTTTCGTCGTTAGATAAATCTGAATCTTCGTCAGTATCAGCTTTAGCAGATTCGATAGGAGTAACTATTCCTACAGACCGGATTCTTCTAAAAAAAATGATCCGTAATTTTCTTCATAAGCTTTCATAATCTCATCTACGCTTAAACGTGTCATCTTTAGACCTACAAGAAAAAAGAATCATTCTAGTGCTCTGTGGCAACTAAAGTTGCCACGTGAATTCAGTGTACCAAATTTAGGTTATAATTCAATAACCAGTTAATTTTTTTAGATCAGAATATATAGTAACCCTTTAGTTTAAAATAAACTAAATATGAACAGAAAATATAAATTAACTAAAAAATACTTACATTGTTTAAGACTAAGTTTGGTTGCTGCAAAACTCTGATATTGAAATAACTACTAGCGAGCATCTGACAAGTTTAAAAGCAAAATTGTAGGTTAGAAATACATGTGGACATGCTAAATATTATATACCACATAAAAATAGGCCACACAAAATACATATGAGATTTTATGGGTGTTGAAAGTTACTGGCAACCAAAGTTGCCACTAAGCGTTAATGGGTTAATATATTTCTTGAAAAAATATATCAGTATACTATTCTCTTACCTTTATAATACTTTAATAACTTTATAAAAACAGAAAATAAAAAAACTTTTAAATATTTACGTAGAAAGGTTTTTGGCAATAAATAAAACAAAGGATTTCATCAGCTAGTAAGTTCTGGTCACTAACGTACCACTTAGTCAAGGGGATAAAAGTTACATTATATTTTACAAGCTTAAATGTAGAATAGAATAGAACGTTTCGGTAAAGGTAGAATATAAGGCTCCATAATTATGTACTCTGCATTGTATTTAAATATAAGATAACTTGTAATATTTTTAGGGGTAGGTATTTATTGGATAGCCTTAAATTATAATCATATATATTTTGTTTATTACTACTATACCTTAAGATTGTTTCTACATTCTAGCGGAACCTTAATTTCATGTTCGTCTGTAGTAAAATTTAGTTTAATAACATCTTGATTTAGTTCTTTCCTAACTTTATCTGACTGGTATGCAGAATTATTATATTCTTCATGTATAAGTCTCTAAAAATAAAACGTGATTGTAACTCTAAATAAAGAATTACTTCCGTTTAAAAAAGTAACCTATTAAACTAAAGTATGTAAAGATTAGGTGGGCCAGATAGCTCAAAGAGTAAAAGTAATATTAAAGCCAGCCAAAACATCTAAGTAGATATTTTCAAAATATTTAAATGTTTGATTTTGGCTTAGTCTGAATAAAATGAGCACCTTGATTAAAAGCAGTGGTATTAATAGGCAGTAAATGCGAGATGTTGGTAGTGTTACCTTCTTATAGTAGATCTAATCGAAATATAACCACTCATACTGGTTCACGAGTATTGAACTATGTGAAAGACTCCCAATGAGCATAAATGAAGATTCTTGGGTACAATACGAAAAAATAAGAAACACCTATCTACCTGAAGATCAAGGTAGATGTTTGCATTTAGGGAAAATTGTACTTTATTATCACATATTCCAAAACAAAGGAAATACGGTATTCTGGTAACTTTCATTAATAAAGATGATGGGAAAGATAAAGCATATCGCAGAAGTTTTTTGACAGAACTATCCGTAGGTCTTTTAAAAAAACATGCAACAACAAGACAGGCAGATCAACACATACCATGTACCATCCGAGAAAAAATACCACAAATATACAAGCTACCCACAGACACGCATCAGAAAGATCAGGAATTGCCACAATTTCGGCGTTGCCAAATTTGCACCTCTAAACAAAATAGGAAAACAAAATATAGCTGCAAAATTTGTAGTAAATTCCTCTGTCTCGAATATGTTTTCTCTGTTTTTAGCCAATGCCTTGAGGGGAGACTAAACTATTATTTTTTAAATTTTATAATGTAAGAAATGTATGTTTTATTTTTATTACCGATTAAGCAATTATTTGTTCTTTTACTTTTTGAGTTATTTATTAAACATTTTTGTAAACTATTAGGCACATCTTAGCTCTTTATTAAGTATAATTATTTGAAAAATTTGTATTTTTAAGAGTATATACTTACACCAGTAATGTGTAAGTTTCTTACCTTACCGCTGGTGACTTAAAAGTTATTTTTTCTTTGTAATGATTTAGTATTAGTTCAAGAAGGTGTATATATTAGATACACATAGATACCAACCGCTTACAAGATCCAACAATTAAAGAAGATTTAAAACAACATATCAATGATAACTTACGAATGCTTTCTACAAAGACAGAGAACACGCATGTAGAAGACAAGTGGCAAGATTTAAAAGACGCCATAATAAAACCTGCCCAGAAAATGCTTACCAAAGAGAAACAGAAAAAAGGACGAGAATGGATAACAGAAAAAATTGTAGGTCTCATGGAAGAGCGAAGACAGTTAAAGGGAAAATGCAGCCAAAAATATAATGAAGTAAACAAACAAATCAGAAAAGAAATAAGAACTGCAAAGGAAAATTTTTATGCAAGAAAATGCGAGGAAATCGAAGAACTACATCTCAAACATGACACTTTTAACTTACATAAAAAGATAAAGGAACTGACAGGTACACAAAAACGAAAACATCCCAATCTCCTATGCAACGCAAATGGTGAAATAATAGCCGATCTACAAGAAAAGCTTAGGACCTGGAAGAACTATGTAGAAGAATTGTTCGACGATGAAAGACAAGAACCTAATATAGATAACTTGCAAGGCGACGAAGGACCAGAAATAACTAAAGAAGAACTATTATACGCTATAAAAATAATGAAAAATGGTAAATCACCGGGTCCAGACGGGCTCACATCAGAACTTCTTAAGCTTGTGGAAGGCGATTCAGTGAATATTCTACTCGACCTTTTTAACTGCATCTACAAAAGAGGAGAAATACCAAAGGAATGGCTACTTTCAACTTTTGTAACCTTACCAAAAAAGGCAAATAAAAAAAAGTGCACTGACTACCGCACTATAAGCATATATATATATATATATATATATATATATATATAATATATATATATATATATATATAATATATATATATATATATATAATGTGCTTTATTGATTACAACAAAGCGTTTGATAAAGTTCGTCACGATCACTTAATGAAACTGCTTAATTATGACTTAACATAAGCAAAACAAAAATAATGCTAATATCTAAATCACCACAAAACTTCCCTGACATAACCGTGCATGATCAAAGAATCGAACGTGTAAGAAGATATAATTACCTGGGAACTGTTATCAACGAAAATAATGATTGCTCTGAAGAAATCAGAACCAGAATAGAGAAAGCTAGAGCCACATTTACTAAATTGAAAAAGGTGTTCTGCGGAAGAGATCTAAGTCTAAAACTTAAAATTCGCCTTTTGAGATGTTACGTTATGTCAGTTCTCCTCTACGGGATGGAAACATGGACATTGAAAAAGATCGATACCAAAAAGATAGAAGCATTTGAGTTGTGGATGTATCGTAGAATATTAAGAATATTCTACGATGTTCTACCTGGACAGAGAAAGTAACAAATGTGGAGGTTTTGCGGAGAGTGCGGAAAGAGAAAGAGCTGATACTTACTGTTAAAAAGCGCAAACTACAATATTTGGGACATGTTATGAGGGGAGATAAATACCAGTTGCTGCAATTGATTATACAGGGAAAGATAATGGGAAAGAGATCTATAGGAAGAAGAAGGCATTCATGGTTGAAAAACTTGAGAGAATGGTACAATTGCACCAATTACCAACTGTTTAGATCTGCAGCATCAAAAATACGCATAGCTTTGATGATAGCCAAACTTCGGAACGAAGACGGCACTTGAAGAAGAAGAAGAAGGTGTATGCTTTGAATGCACTCACCTCATCACGTGGACCAACTGCCAAATCGTAATTGTAGTAAAATATTGGAGGCCATACTATGTTCTTAAAGTTCTTGTTATCTCGAGGTAAATGATAAATAACACGAGGTCCATCGACTGCACATATAACTTTTACGATGACAGGTTCTTGACCTAATCCAATAAAACATGGAATATAGGTATCCTGGAAAAATCCTGTAAAATATAAATCTATTATGATAAATACATCACAAACGTGACATTATTTTTTGTTTATTACCAATAATAAAATGATTAAAAACTGATATATTTAAAAATTATTATTATTATTATTTTTAAATGGCATAGATTTTACTCATTCAGTCAGTTGTAATAGATATCCAATCAGATAAATACACAATCCTATCTCTAATACAAATATAACGGATAAATAAAAAAATGAGGGGCTTGGTAGTAAACAATGGTTAAGGACAAATTTTGATTTTTCCCGAAATATTATGTGAAAGATGGCAAGGGGCATGGCAACGCAAAAAACTTGACTTATTTTATCGTCCGAATAATAGATGGCGCCAGATTAAATTATTAAAATTTGGCATGAGACATGTATAAGCATGAAAATAATGTTATGTGTCCATGACGGCGGAAGACAAAGCAGGTTGTTAAAATCTAAATGGCTTTTTTGATGTTAATAGTGACATTTCTGAGAGCTACGATGAGTACGACTCAGATAAAGATCATGAATGTCAAATATTTATAGTGAAGCTAGCGCAATTAACTTTCTACAAAGAAGGTAATTTATTTATATTCTTAGAATGATTGTTTGCAACTGAAAAATGGTAAAGAATGTAATTAACAATGTTTACATTCACATTTACTATGCATTAAACTTAACATCATTTTTTACTTGCAAACATGAAAATAAATTCTCTGCAGCGCTATAATACTTAATACTATTTTTATTTATAAAAATTAATGGGAAAATCCCAGTAGTTGGCTGTATACCATCGTTTAAAAAAACATATAGAAGTTAAAACACTTCACAATTGTATTTTGGTGTAAAAACATATAATTCAAACTTTTTAAAAAGTGTCGTCAAAATTTATATAGTAGCATAACGTTTTCGATCTAATCAAATCATCCTCAGTGCCTTATGTAGTCGAAGCTAACAATAAAGTTGTGTCTGTGACATCCATATATGGGTTTACATCATTCCAAATTTAAATTGTGTTGTGACTCTAGGTTGATGACATTGAATACAATTTATTACTTTAGGGACTACATGTCTCCCTGCTCGATTTTTAACACGTGGTACTTGTCAGTTAAAACGACACAGACCAACTCAGATGATCTGATTAGATCGAAAACGTTATGCTACTATATAAATTTTGACGACACTTTTTAAAAAGTTTTAACTATATGTTTTTATACCAAAATACAACTGTGAAGTGTTTTAAGTTCTGCATGTTTTATTTTTAATTATGTTTTAGAAAACTTTCGAAAGAACATGGACTTCAAGAAATTTTTTCTCACACATACCCAGAGTCCAATATTGAAGAAGAAGGGAAGAAGAAAAAAAATAGAGGAGAATTAAATGAACACAGTAAATAAGAAAAAGAAAATTCTGTTTCATAAACAAAATTTAGAAAAAGAAAACGCAATTTAAGTAAGCAATTAAAAACGAAAGAGTTCAGAAATCGGGGAAAAGAATATATGTAAACAATACAGAGGTAAAGGAAATATTGTTTTATCAAAACAACAAGGTCCACCGTGTAGTTGCCCCAATAAATGCTATGAGTTATTTGCACCCCACGAAGAAATGCAGACAGGTTTTGTTAATTTTTGGGGCATGAACAGTTTTGATACACAAAATGCTTACTTACAAGGTTGTATGAGATATAAAAAGGTGACTAGGAAGAAAACTAAAACACTAATGTCAAAAAGATCTCAAACTATTGAATATAAATTAAAATCACAGGGAAAAGATGTTAAGGTATGCAAAATGGGTTTCTTAAGTATCCATGACTTAAAGAAAAATCGAGGTCGGGTGGAAAATCTAGTACAACAATTAAAAACTGAATCAAATACTCCAAAATCAGATCTAAGAGGTCGACATTTAAATCATCCTAAAAAATATTCCAATTCTGATATAGATTTTTTAAAATCTTTAATTGAAAGCATACCTACATACATAAGCATTTACATCCATGCTGACAGCTCTAGAGTATGGAATATTCTATTCAGACTTGTTATGAGAAATTTGTAGGAGAATGTATTTTAAAAAAGAAAGTTCCAGTTTCTGTAGATAAATTCAGAAGAATATTTATTGAAGAATATAATTGTTGATAACTGTTCAGTGGAAAACGGGAATCTTGAGTTCTTCCAGTTACTTGTTGCTAAATATTATTTGGACTTGCCGTGGTTTTAGTAAAGAACATAAGACCGTCCATGAAACTATTTAACACTTCTGTGATTGTTATAATATAGAAAAAAGACTTAATGGTTTGTAATAATACAACTAAAAAATATTACAAATATAAATTAATACTACATGCTGTTACATCGATAACTGGAAACGGAATCATGCTGATTGAGGGTTGCTAGTAGGTAGCCTCCAAAAGCAGGCACTTTCCATTGAACCCATGTTCTATAAAAGAAAACTGTGGAGCTATAATTTAAGCATACATTCCCTTGGAGATGGTCAGAGTCACTTTTTTATGTCGGATGAATCCACTGCTAAGAGAGGGTCGGAAGAAATCGCTAGCTGTCTTAAAATGTACTTTAAGAAAAATGATACTCGTCGCAGAAAACTAATAGCTATTTCAGAAAATTGCTGCAGACAAAATAAAAACTGGACCATCATTGGTCTTTAGCTATTCGCCCTTCTTCTTCTTCTTTGGGTGCCATGTCCGTATTCAGACGTTGGCCGTCATCATGTTTACAATTTCCTGAAACCTTTCTCTGCTGAGCGAAATAATTCTTCTACTGTGAAACCACACCATTGTCTAATATTACGCAGCCATGAAAGTTTCTTTCGACCAATCCATCTCTTTCCTTCCACTTTTCCTTGTATTATAAGGCGAAGTAAATGGTATTTGGGTCCTCTAATTATATGGCCGAAGTATTCTGTTTTTCTCCTCTTTATGGTGTTCATGAGCAGACGTTCTGAGTTGATCATTTGAAGAACATCTTCATTGGAAGTGTGCCAAACCCACGATATCTTTAGGATCCGTCTATAGCACCACATTTCGAATGCTTCTAACTTGTTTAGCATTGTGGTTTTTAATGTCCGTGTCTCACAACCATACAATAGGATCGACCACACATAACATTTCAGGACCTTCTTACGAATGTTCATTGACAGGTTTCTGTTGCATAAAACTGGTTTCCAGGTCATAAAAGCCTTACGTCATATTTCGATCCTGGATATTATCTCTTCATCAGAGTCACAATTTACATTCAAACAGCTGCCAAGGTATTTGAAATGATTTACCCTTTCTATCTCTTCTCCATTAAGAGAAAGCAGACCTTGATCTATATGGATCTTTCCAACTGCCATCCACTTTGTCTTTGAAATGTTGATTTTTAGGCCTCTCCGATAACTTGCTTCACTGACTAGATTTAGTAATGTTTGGAGATCTTGTAAGCTTTCTGCAAGAATTGCTGTATCGTCAGCGTATCTAATATTGTTGATTACTTCTCCACCTAGTCTAACTCCTCCTTGTCTGTCATCCAAAGCCTCCCTAAAGATTTCTTCAGAGTACAGATTAAAAAGAGTGGGTGACAAAACACAACCCTGCCGTACTCCACGTTTGATGGGTATTCGCCCAATCACTGGATATTTTGAAGATTTGTCAGAAAAAGAAACCTTTTCTAGTAACTAGGGTCCAGCAAAAAGATATATATGATTGTTTAGTATATATGACTATCTTTAGAAGTTTCTAAAAATATTCAATATTCAGCATCATACAGCGGATTATTTAATTTCATGTCCTTGAATAAAAGAGGAAGACCAACAGCTACAGATGAAAAATTTCCTACACTTACTCAAAAATATAATCATTCCCATAGTAGTCATCCAGAAAAACTGAAAGATGTAAACTCATTCTAAGAATGGATTCCAGCTGTTTATCACGAATGGTATATAAATTTGAAATAAACTCATAGTACCTTTTCAAATATTTTAGGTAAATAATGTTAAGTTATAGTACATATTTTCATATTTTTCTCAATAAACCGTGTAAAAAAATATTTGGTATTTCATATTTTGCCTACTGATTAACAACATAATCAACTAATTTTAGCATGATTCATAGTCTTATATTTTTTAATAAAAAATATAAGAGTATTTTTTTCAAAATGAAACACTTTAAAACTCAAATCTTTTTTATTGTCCCTTACCCTTTTTTACTGCGGACCCCTCAATTATTGATAGCATATTTTTATGATACAGCTGATAATACCTAATGTCATGTCATAAACTAGTGACCAACAATTACAAAATGATTAAAAATTTTCTTGTATCAAATGTTGCAGTAATTTTAATAAAACAATAATGTGATTATAGTTGAAGTAAGAAATATGGTAGAATAATCAGATTTGTAGGTTTGCACAGTTCTGCTTGAAGATTTAGTGCGGTCGATAGTTGTTATGATATGATAAAATATACAATTAAAAGTATTTACTTTTTACTGTATATGTATATAACTATATACTATAGGTATGTACATATATTTTTTATTTACATTCCACCTTAAACCCTCCCTCTTACCGTATGCTTGAGTTGATAATTGATATAACAACTTGTTTCAAAACCAGTCTTTCTATTATTACACTTTTAATTTTTCGGAATAATAATTTCACAACAGAACAATGAACAAATACTTATATATTTAATTGATTTCTCCTTGTTCCGTATTTTCTGCGCTACTATCATCATTTAACTCAATAATAAATTTATTTATATTAATGTGGAGGTACGCAATCTTTTTGGAGAATATGTTGGATATTCTTTACAGATAGGCGTTCCATGTAAGCAATTTAGCCAGTATAACTCTTAGATATTTTACCTCATTCGCCTCTTTGACAGTTTCTTCATACAGAGCGGGCATCCAGATGTTATCTAGATTCCATCTCCTTGTGAAACTGACTACTACTGTTTTGCTAGGATAATCAAAGAGCTTTTTGTCGTCTCGCCAGCCAGTAACGATAGTTATGTG